AATCTCTAAATATTTGTGTAAAAAGTTCTTACCTATAGATTTCATATTATTTAATAAAGTATCTTCAAACAACAACAAATAATATAAAACAAGTATTTGACAGCCTACATCTTTTTTCTCTGATAGTATAATAGTAGGAGACTGTCGTCCACTGATATCTTTTCTATTAGCAGGAGCATCAAATACTTCTAATAATTCCTTTTCGCTGATAGCTTGATTTACATTGTCTGATTTGATACCTTTAACAATAATAGAATTCACGTAGGACTCTATTAATAGAGGTAGGAGAGGGTGTAATGGTAAACAACTACTACACATTTGTTTATAAATCCAATCCTGAAAAATAAACAAACAATCCATTTCAGAACTTAAGACTTGCTTGATAAATTTTATCATTAGATTCTAAAATCAACTCACAAAAATTATTCATTGAAAATTCTCTCAGATACAATTGGTCCATTTTTATTGAATAAATCATTCGACTGGTTCAATATACTTCAAAATACCAGAATTTGTGTTGCATAACAATTTTCAAGTCACCCACAGAAAAAAACAGGAAACAAAACATAAAGATCTACAATCTGATGAGCTAGTCAATAAATAAAAAGTTAAAATGTAGGTATGTTAAAATTCTTACCTTGATTGGAACTTTATATCTAGAAAATACACGACTTTTTAAAAGTTGGAATATAATATGTATAGGTAAATAACCAGCCATATCTCCATTTAAACTCTCAGTAACTGGTATACTTATAGCATGAGATGCTATTACCTGTAATATATAACATATAGCATTATCATTTACACAAGGCCTTTAGTGAAATTTAACGCCACCTTCAAGCATTGATATCTCCAGGTTATATCTCGTAATAAGCAGATGACTCTGGCAAATAAAATATCTTTGTTAACTTATATTCAGGGAGGTTACCTAATGTACATCATACTGTTCTATCTATCTCCATAATACACCAGAGAAGGGCAGATTAATTAATTCTTAACAAATATATGTTATAAATAATTATAATTTTTATAAAGAAAACAACAATTTTACCTGTTCAGTAAATATTTCTTGAGTAAAAATATGGCGTATTCGAGACAAAGCATTGGCTTTTACTTGACACTAAAACATAGACATAAATAAATAATTCATTAGTATTCAAGTTAGTAGAGAGAAAGTCTTACAACATATGTGCTTATTGCTATGAGGTATTGCCAAGGTGTAATTACTTAAATATTTTATTATTAGATGTACGGTACAACACATATTTATATTACAATCGAAATAAATATTCTTAAGACCATAAGGTTTACTTACCTTCATACCTAATGTATTACAAACTAATTCACTAATAGAAGATGTCTGATTATTATGAAAATGGAGAGCTATCAAAAACAACATTTCACCAAATGATTTTCCATTTCCTGTATTTCTAAAAAGAAGCAAAATAGAAATATGGTAAGGGAATCACCCGACAATAATATCAAGGCTCATAAAACCATAAAACCACATAGAACAAATAAATTTCTTCTTTGGGTAATGCAAATTGGCATTGTCATGCAGTGTGCAATGAGAGAACAGCAATATTAGCTTTTTCCC